CCTACCTATTAAGTGACAGCAAGCCCTATACATATATCTTACACTTATCTGTATCTGTTGAAAGCTAAAAATAATGGTGCCTTTAGGAATTGTACCCTACATAGTTTGTGAGAGATGACGTGAGGAACTTCTGTTCTGCACATTTTATTTTTACACTGCTTAACACTGCTGTTATTCCTGAGCCTGATTTATGAGCACCCTGGGGTACTCCTAACCCCTTTTGATGTTATTTCTACTGGAAACAGTTGACAAAAGCAGATCTCCCCTTGAGGATTGCACAGTTTTAGTATTTGTTTCAACTTTCAGCCATTTGCTCAACCTATTAAGAGCTTCTTCAAAGACATAAAATAACAACCCATCACCTTGAACGCTACAGAAAAAAAATAAATGCATAAAAGCTGCCAATTCGCACTAACTCTGCTGTAGATAAGCAGAATACATTGGAAGGCATTATACTACATGGAATACTGCCTATGGATTTTGTATAACCCTACAAGGGTATTTGGCTCTGAAGTATTTTACTCTGTTGGTCAGAGCTGCATGAAAATATTCATATCAAATATAAACCCAAGGCAAACAGAAGTGTGCGTAATGTAAACTTGAGAATAAAAATTGGCATTAGGCTTAAACATTACTTCCACTTTGTATTTTTTCTATATACCATAGAGTACACTATTGCTTTGAAAATTATTTTTATGAGCTCTGCAAACCTTGCTAAAACCATATATATGCCGTACTGAGACTCTTGGAGATAACTGTTTTGCCTGTGGTGGACTAACTGTCCATGAAAAATGGACAAAACCAACTAGAGAAATGGTATATCTTGCTGCAAACAATAACATTTAAGAAATACATAAATAGTACCTGGTTGTCATCTTTTCCTGTTTACATTTTTTAGCAAAAAGGAAGAAAAATATATTTTGAGGAACAGACACTTTTTTTACTGTAATGAAGCTAATATAAAGTAAAAGTTAATGTATCAAATGCAGTTATTCTTCCTTTCCACCTGAATGCTATAGAATGATTAAAGTAGGTTTCACAAAATACTACAAACTGCAGAGTGGCCTAGTTTCTACTTTTCAACTGTATAGGAGTATTAAAAAGTAATTGTCAGCAGAAATACATATAGTCACCTAAATGTTTAACTAAAGTGAAAAGGTTGTGGGTATTTGTGTAATTTCTTTGAGTTATATATACATATTTCAAGAACACTAGGTTGGAGAAAAGAATAAGAAACTCAAAAAATGATGCATACATTTCATAAGTAGCCCAAGAATTTACAATGACTGATAACTGATTTTATTGTCTGATCTCTAGCTTTTTGCAAAATGGTCTTACCTTTGACCATCCTTGCAACTGGAAAAAAAGAAAATTAGAAATAGAAACTAAAATAATTTCTTTCACAGCTTTAATTTGAAAATTATTTCATTCACACAAAAATATATGTAATATTATATTTTAATTAGAGACAACATTGGTCATAGAAAAATGAAGTATAGTAAGGTCTCCTTGGTACTACCTACAAATGTTTAATATTACACAAAACTGCATAATAGAATTTTAAGGCTTTAAAAATCCAACTTCTGAAAGATAATCAGCATTTAATGTAGGGATGCATTCTCAAAACTTTAGTGCTATGTAAATATGTATCAATATTTTGACATGATCAGACAGAACAATTTTCTTCCATTGTAGTTTCTCTAATGTTTCCTTGTTGCCTAGAGAATGGGGTTTGAGGCAAGTTTTTTTCCTTTTTTTTTT